CCAAGCCGCTCAAATGGGGAGCCTGCGTTAGCTAGCTACGATACTACCCAGAGCGAGCTCCGAGAATCTGAAGGCAAGTTAGTAATTCGACAGAAAATGAAGTATGAGTAGCTGAGAACACTCGGTTTGATGCCTTAGCCTCTCTTGGGGCTAAGCATAGCACTCTCCTGACGGAGTTTCGGATACAAGACCGTTTGAACGGGGAGCCCGCTGTTCGCTAGCTGCTAAAACAACCCAGCGATCAAGTATCCAAATGGCATATGCCCGCTTGCCAATCGAGAACTTAGAATCTGTTTGGTTCGTACAGCGAAAATTGTTCCGAGTATACTTATTAGTGAGACTTGTGAATAGCTCGACTTCGAAAACTGTTCTGATTTTAGACGGGTTTCGCTCGCCCTTTTATACTCGCAAGTTCGCCGAATTCTTGGAATTTCTGTGACGTCAGAATATCTAAATTTTCATATAAATTCGTTATTATACATTAATTATACAATTGAACGGTTTAATTATATTTTAAATGTTGCTCTCTAATTTCTGGCTAACAATTTGATATTAAAATAGTAGTATAACGGTGTTTTAGCGAAAAACACATTTTCTGTCCTTTTCTAATTAATTGCGTACGAATTCTATAAGAGTCGAATCTATTCCGATTTACAGCTTTTTAATTGAAGAAAATAATTGTGGTTCCGGCCATGAATAGTTTAGTAATGACTGATTTTACGTATATAATTTGATTTAGTTCATTAATTAATTTACTGTTTGATAATGCCGTAAATAGAAATAGTATCTCAAGGATTTCGGGCGAGTATCGCGGCACGTAGGCACATCCTAGCGTAGCGGAAATTTCTTATACAAAACTATTTATTAGAAAAATAAAATAAAATAATACATAATCTTATTTTAACGATTCAAATTTAATATTCAATTATTGGTATGAAAATATTACCTATTCTAAATCAAAATTATAAGATAATTAATATAAACGAAAATATATATATATATTGATTACCGACTGTCGGATCTACTAGGATCGATAATCGATAATCGTAATTGGGTATTCTAATAGGTGGGCAGAAGATTGTCGTGATGATGAAGGAGAAAAAAAAAAAAATTCTTCCCGGGGACGTTACACATCGACGAGCAAGGCACCGTCGCGCTCGGCACTCGCGAAAACATCGCCGACGTTCGCGAGGAAATCGACGCGTCCCAACAAACCCCCATCGCCGCGAACAGGCAGACGACAAACATTCGTTGCAGCCTCCGCAACAAGCTGTAAGATTTGCAACTCCGGACCGCATCAGGTTTTCCAGTGTCAGCGTTTTTTAGATATGATAGTCAAAGACAGGATCTAGACCGCACGTAAGGACAATCTCTGTTTTAATTGCCTCCAAACAGATCATGCCACCAGAGATTGTAACGGAGGAAAATGTCGTGTCGTTCAGACCCGAGAATGGTGCACATATCGAATATTTACTGTATATATAAGTTCTCACCGGCCAAACGGTATAAACAAGATAAAACGATATAAACAAGATAACGCGTGGTCCAAACGTCGAAAACAAGATAAGCCGAAAACGGTAACGCAATCAGGAGATAAGCAAGAGTATAAAAGACAAAGCGGGCCGGCGCGCGCGACATTAATCATCAGGCAATAATAATATACACTCAAGATAGTCGGAGCTAAGGTTTCGGGTCGGATTGCGAGAACATTCGATTGTAACAAATTGCGCACATTGTAAAGTGCTGTAGTGATTAAGGAGTAAAATAAATATTTTTTTTTTTTAAAACACAAACTGATCGCTCTCCCGCGTAACAAAGTAAATAAGATTAAATATGTAAGTACAAAAGTAAACGTATGTAAATATGTACATATATGTAGATATAAGTAAACGCATGTAAATATGTAAATATGTGTATGTATAAATGTTAATAGGAAAAGTCTTTGATAAAATGTATTGGCACGATGACTGTCCAGCTCTGTCAAAGAAGCTGGGTCGATGGTGACATTAGGACTGTCCAGCTCTGTCAGGGGAACTGGGTCGATGTTGGCTCTGGGACTGTCCAGCTCTGTCAAGTGAAGCTGGGTCGATGTTGCCAGGGAAATCTTCGGGCTGGTAGAGCAAAGGTACAAGTTTTTTCGTACTCCGATCAAGTACGCCGGTAGCTGTTTTGACTGTAACAGCCCGGACGATACCGTCGGAGCCGGGATGCACCTTAGTCACCCTACCTAAAGCCCACTGCATTGGAGGGATGTTGTCCTCGCGTAGAAGGACCACTGTGCCTTCTTTGATGGAGTGAGCGCCCTTGGTCCATTTCGTGCGTCGGGTTAGCTCGTTCAAATATTCCCTGTGCCACCGCTTCCAGAAGTGTTGCCTCATTTGCTGGATGTGTTGCCAGCTCGAAAGACGGTTGGCTGGAACAACGGTAAAATCGCGCTCGCGTAGGCTCGTCATGGAGTCGCCAATGAGGAAGTGACCGGGTGTAAGGACGAGGAGGTCATTGGAGTCCGAGGAGATAGGAGTCAAGGGACGGGAGTTGAGGATTGCCTCTATTTCTATTATTAAGGTGTTCAAATCCTCAAATGTGATTAACTCAGTCCCTACGACACGTATCAGGTGGTGTTTGAACGCTTTCACCGCCGCCTCCCACAACCCACCAAAGTGTGGTGCGTGGGGTGGAATGAAATTCCATTCGATTGCCTTGTTTGCGAGAAAAGATTGGACCTTACTGTGGTGGTCCTGTGATTGTAAAAGATCCTGTATTTCACGTAACTCATTAGCCGCCCCTACGAAATTTGTACCATTGTCAGAATGAATGCGCTTGCAGTGTCCTCGCCGTGCAATGAAACGACGAAGTGCAGCCAAGAAAGCTTCTGTGGCGGACCGCCGCCGAAAATTCTCGACGCGCGCGAACGCTCGCTATGCGGCACGAGCGAAAAAGAACATTCGCGAACGCTCGCTATACGGCGCGAGCGTGGAAGAACCTTCGCGAGCCCACGCGCTAGAACGTTCGCGAGCAAGAAATTTCGAGAAAAACAATTGACTATATAAATCGGCCGATTCGCGTACAATCAAGCAGTCCATGTCCAGCTTTCACACCGAACACTCCAATAGTCCTCTTGTCAACGCGCGTTTCCATATCTTGTACAAAGACTAACTTTATAGTGCAATAGTTTATAGTCTCTAGTACTTAGTTTAGTTTGTAAATAGTTAAGTGTTTATTTTAATAAAATAGTTTAAGTTAATTAATCCGTGTATTCGAACCACGTAACCACTTCATTGGTTACGCCGACGTGATCGTGATACAGTGAGTGAATTCGAAAATCAAAAATGTCACTGCCAACCCACGACACCAACAACGAGCCAGTCTCGCAGCCTACACCGGAGCTCGCCCGGATCGGAGTGCGTGTGCTACCGTTTTAGAAGGCCAACCTCGCTCTGTGGTTCTGCCAAATGGAAGCTCAATTCAAGACCTCCGGCATCACAGTCGATGACACCCGATTCAACTATATAGTTCAGGCGCTGGATACGGAAATTCTTACGGAGGTTAGTGATTTGATACTCAGCCCACCGAGCACCGGCAGATACGAGCGTCTGAAAGCCCGGCTCATAGAGGTTTTCGCGGACAGCGAAACAAGGCGGATGAAAACGCTCTTAACAGATCTTGACCTCGGAGACCGCCGCCCTTCACAGCTGCTGCGGCAAATGCGAGACCTTGCCCAGGATAAGATTTCCGAAAGCGCCTTGCGATCGCTGTGGTTGCAGCGTCTTCCAGCACATATGCAAGCGATCCTGTCTGCCAGCGAAGACGATTTGAATCGGCTGTCACAGGCGGCTGACAAGATTGCCGAAATCAGCACCCCCACCATCAACAACATTTCACCCGGTTCTGAGGTAAATTCCCTTCGCGCTGAGGTGCACGAACTAACTAAACAAATACAGGCGCTGACATCCCGATTAAGCCGAAGCCCACACCGGGGAAGCCGAAATTCGAGGAGGCGTTTCGTCAGGAGTAGGACCCCGGATCGCAGCCGAGGACGAGTGTTGGTACCACCGCACCTACCAACAACGCGCACGAAAGTGCGAACAGCCATGCCAATAGAAAAGAGAAAGACAATTGACTATATAAATCGGCCGGTTCGCGATCACAGTCGATGACACCCGATTCAACTATATAGTTCAGGCGCTGGATACGGAAATTCTTACGGAGGTTAGTGATTTGATACTCAGCCCACCGAGCACCGGCAGATACGAGAGTCTGAAAGCCCGGCTCATAGAGGTTTTCGCGGACAGCGAAACAAGGCGGATGAAAACGCTCTTAACAGATCTTGACCTCGGAGACCGCCGCCCTTCACAGCTGCTGCGGCAAATGCGAGACCTTGCCCAGGATAAGATTTCCGAAAGCGCCTTGCGATCGCTGTGGTTGCAGCGTCTTCCAGCACATATGCAAGCGATCCTGTCTGCCAGCGAAGACGATTTGAATCGGCTGTCACAGGCGGCTGACAAGATTGCCGAAATCAGCACCCCCACCATCAACAACATTTCACCCGGTTCTGAGGTAAATTCCCTTCGCGCTGAGGTGCACGAACTAACTAAACAAATACAGGCGCTGACATCCCGATTAAGCCGAAGCCCACACCGGGGAAGCCGAAATTCGAGGAGGCGTTTCGTCAGGAGTAGGACCCCGGATCGCAGCCGAGGACGAGTGTTGGTACCACCGCACCTACCAACAACGCGCACGAAAGTGCGAACAGCCATGCCAATAGAAAAGCGCACCGGAAAACTGAAACCCCGGTTATCTCAGGCGACTGATAGCCGGGACAAACCAACACGTCGCCTGCTTGTCCACGACGCATCAACCAAATTATCCTTCTTGGTCGACACCGGCGCCGACGTCTCAGTAATCCCGGCCACCCACACCGATCGCCGGCACAGAGCGGAACTCACTCTTTTCGCCGCAAACAATACCAACATCAACACCTATGGGCAGAAACTCCTACGGCTGGACCTAGGCCTGCGCCGCTGCTTCCAGTGGCCTTTCGTAATCGCCGATGTGCAGAGGCCAATTATTGGAGCGGACTTTCTGGGCCACTTCAACCTACTGGTGGACATTCGGCACAGAAAACTCGTCGATGGAAACACCTCCCTGGTCAACTATGGGATAATAAGGATCGACCCAACCCCGCAGATCCACGTCATGGAGAAGAACACTGAGTATGGAAAACTCCTGGCAAAATTCCCCGCCATCACGCGGAGCACCATCCTTCCGCCACAAGTGCCACACAAGATCCAGCACTACATAGAGACCAGAGGACCACCAGTTGCAGCTCGCGCGAGACGCCTTGCCCCTGATCGCTTAAAAGCCGCACGACAAGAGTTTGACTTTATGTTGCAGCAAGGATTATGTCGCCCTTCGAAAAGCCCCTGGGCTAGTCCACTCCACCTGGTACCAAAGAAGAATGGAGATTGGCGACCATGCGGAGATTATCGGAAGTTAAACGCAGCAACCGTTCCGGACCGCTATCCTATCCCGTTCCTACAGGACTGTGCCCACCTCCTCCACGGTGCCACTATTTTTTCCAAAATAGATCTGGTACGGGCGTATCAGCAAATTCTCATCAGAGAGGAGGACATTCCAAAAACAGCTATTATCACCCCTTTCGGCCTTTTCGAATTCCCATTTATGACTTTTGGACTACGCAATGCAGCCCAAACGTTCCAGCGGTTCATGAACGAGGTGACCTCCGGCCTCGACTTCTGCTTCACCTATATTGACGATATTCTGGTCGCATCAGAGAACGAGGAACAACATCTTCGCCATCTCGAGGCTCTGTTCAAACGCCTTCGAGAGTATGAATTGGTCATCAACCCCTCCAAATGCATTTTCGGAGCTGCCGCTGTCGAGTTCCTCGGGCACAGAGTGAGCGCGGACGGACTGCAACCCCTGCCCGAAAAGGTTCAGGCAATCTCGGAGTATCCGCCATCGACGACCGTGCGAGGACTCTCCAGCTGGCAGTCGCGGGAAAAAAGAAGAATTTCCAAACCAAGCTGCAGTGGAATCAAGAAATGACGGAGGCCTTCAACAACCTCAAGACAGCGCTAGCACAAGCCACATTCCTGGCTTTTCCTACTCCAGAAGCTCCCATCTCTTTACACACCGACGCTTCAGATACAGCAATTGGAGCCGTATTACAGCAGGAAATTGGAGGTAAACACCAACCATTGAGTTTTTTCTCGAGAAACCTTACGCCGGCACAGCAAAAGTATTCTGCATATGACCGTGAACTGCTCGCAGTTTATGCAGCAATTAAACATTTCCGGTTCATGTTGGAAGGACGCAAATTTACCATTTATACTGATCACAAGCCCTTAGTCTATGCTTTCGACCAGAATCCTGAGAAGGCTACACCTAGACAAATTCGACAACTGGCCTACATATCGGAATTTTCGACCGATATCCGCCACATCTCCGGAGAGCATAACACCGTAACGGACGCACTCTCCCTAGTCCAAGAGATTGGTTTCCCTTCCGCATTAGACTACGACGCACTAGCGGAGCAACAAGAGGACGAAGATCTGCAACAACTCAAGGAGAGCAGAAGCATCAAGATATCCAAGCTCAAAATCCCTGGCCTATCGAAGCCCATCTACTGCGACACTTCGATTCCAGGTCAAATCCGTCCCTACATTCCAGTCAACTTCAGGATGGCCGTTTTCAAAGAAGTGCACGGCCTATCCCATCCAGGAGTCCGCGCAACTGTGAAGCTGATTACCAGTAGATTCATATGGCCAGACCTCAAGCGAGATGTCAAGACATGGACTCAGAGTTGCGAACAGTGCCAGCGAGCAAAGGTCACAAGACACACCAGGACGCCCCTACAAGAGTTCCTAGTCCCCAACGAACGCTTCTCTCACATACATATAGACCTCGTGGGACCACTCCCCACATGCCAAGGTTATTGTTATTTACTAACTGTAATTGATAGATTTACTAGGTGGTTGGAGGCCTATCCGGTGGAGAACTAGCAGGCAGACACCGTCGCACGGAAGCTGCTGGAAGGGTGGATCGCTCGTTTCGGAGTTCCCTCGAAGATCACCACAGACCAAGGTCGGCAGTTCGAGAGCACCCTGTTCAGGACTTTCCAGAAAGCCCTGGGCATATAGCCTGCCACAACGACGAGCTATCACCCGCAATCCAATGGACTGATTGAACGCCACCACCGGTCCTTGAAGGCAGCCCTCACCTGCAGCAACAGCGTTCATGGGTGGACGCTTTACCCCTAGTCCTTTTGGGACTCAGGACAGCGGTAACAGAAGACCGCCACCACCCTGCGCCTACCCGGCGAACTCTTCGCACCCAGCACCCGACTTGAACCCGAGGAGTTCACGAGGCGCCTTCAGGAGCACATGCACGCGGTCCAGCCAGTGCCAACATCAAACCACAGCGAGAGCAAGATATTCGTGCATCCGCAGCTTCTCGACTGCACACACGTCTTCCTGCGGCACGATGCAGTGCGTGCACCACTTCAGCCCCAGTACGACGGCCCCTTCAAGGTTCTGCGACGCCACGACAAGTTCTTCGACATCTGCGTCCACGGAAAAACGAAGCGAGTTTCCCTCGACCGTCTCAAACCAGCATTCAGCATCGCATAAGGGCTGACGCAGAATCCGGTACCGACTCCAACACCGACGACAACGACCAGATCCGGACGCATCTCCAGACCACTCTCTAGGCTCACCGTACGTTTTTCCTAGGGGGGGAGTGTGTGGCGGACCGCCGCCGAAAATTCTCGACACGCGTGAACGCTCGCTATGCGGCACGAGCGAAAAAGAACATTCGCGAACGCTCGCTATACGGCGCGAGCGTGGAAGAACCTTCGCGAGCCCACGCGCTAGAACGTTCGCGAGCAAGAAATTTCGAGAAAAACAATTGACTATATAAATCGGCCGATTCGCGTACAATCAAGCAGTCAATGTCCAGCTCTCACACCGAACACTGCAATAGTCCTCTTGTCAACGCGCGTTTCCATATCTTGTGCAAAGACTAACTTTATAGTGCAATAGTTTATAGTCTCTAGTACTTAGTTTAGTGTGTAAATAGTTAAGTGTTTATTTTAATAAAATAGTTTAAGTTAATTAATCCGTGTATTCGAACCACGCAACCACTTCACTTCTGTTGTTAGATCACTTACTAATTCTAAGTGAACTGCCTTTACGGCCAGGCACACAAAAACCGCAACATAGACTTTCACGCGCGTTCGGTTTCGGTGCTTCTTCTCCTTAATGTAAAAGGGCCCACAGTAATCCACCCCGGTGTATGTAAATGGGCGGGACTCTGTTATTCTTGCCTCGGGTAGGTTGCCCATAACATAGTCCACCGGTGGTGGCCGGGCTCGAATGCAGCGCGTGCAGGTCTTTATGGCCTGCCAAACCTGGCTTCGACCGTCGATGGGCCAATAACGCCGCCTAATTGCGTACAGGGTGTTTTGTACACCTATATGTAGCTGTAGTTTGTGTTCCGCTTCTATTATTAGTAATGTGACACGTGCCTTCGGTAAGATGATGGGATGTCGTTGGTAAAATGGAATCATCGCATGCTTCAGGTGGCCTCCAACCCGCAATATGCCCTCTCTGTCGATGAACGGGTTGAGTCTTTGCAACTTTCCACCGACATCGAGTTGACTGCGAGACAGACGACGTAGTTCCTGGGAAAAATGTACACGTTGAAGTGTTTTAATCAAGATGTTATGTGCATGTCGAAGTTCTGAGACTGTTAAGTTGCCTTTAATCCTCTTGATTGTTTTCCAGCGGAGACAGCGTGCGACGATCCGCTGCATCTTATTCCACGACGAGTAGGAATCCAGGATGCTCGTGTCTGTTAATGTGCTGACAAGACACGTTGCTGTTTTCTGTTCAGGTATAACTGTGTCCTTGAATGTCAGAATTATGTCGGTTTTTGGCCAAAACTCTTCTTCCTTCGCCAGCCATTCTGGACCATGTTGCCAGGTGGAAGGACGAAGAAACTCTTCCGGAGTTTGACCGCGGGAAATAAGATCGGCAGGATTCTTTCTGGTCAGTTGAAACATACCGCTAATGTGTAATATCTGTTGTTGACTGTATTTTAGATATTCTGTTCGCGATGAATGTTTTCAGAAGATGTGGTGAAGTACGTAACCAGTGGAGAACTATTGTAGAGTCTGACCAGAATGTAGTGTGTTGTACTTGTAAATGCAGGGCTTTTCTCACGGTTGTCATTAATGTAGACAAAAGGAGAGCAGCACACAGTTCTAAACGTGGTATCGATTGGGTTTTTAATGGAGCGACCTTGGATTTCGCGATGAGAAGGTCCACCTGTACCTGCCCGGTCGCGTTTGTTGAGCGCACGTAGATACAAGCCCCGTAGGTCTTCTCACTCGCGTCGCAGAATCCATGTAGCTCGATTGAAATTGGAGAAGCAATAATTATGTATCTGTTGAAAACTGTATTGTTTAAAAGTGGAAGCTGTTTGTAAAATGTAACCCATTCTGTGTAAATGTCCATGGAAAGTGACTCATCCCAGTCAACCCGAATTGTCCAAAGCTTCTGTAACAAGACCTTAGCGAGAATAATGACAGGTCCCAAGAGGCCTAACGGGTCATAAATTTTCGCTATTTCGGAGGAAATGAATCGTTTTGTGATGTTTGTTTTTGCTAGTTGTGGTTTGACCTCGTAGGAAATTGTATCCTGTGAGGAGTTCCAAACCACACCTAGCGTTTTCAAAGTGGATGACTCGCCTATGTGTAATTTTTTGTTGATGGCCTGTTCCGGAAGATCCCTTAACGGAGAGTCGCTATTAGATACCTGTTAAATAATCAGAATTATGGAAAATAACAAAACTAATAATACACTTTTGAACACGAACAAATTATTTAATAAAGAACACAAACAACAAACTTTTTAACTTAAAGATTAACCATTTAAACAGGGATTACTTTTTCTTCAAATAAAACATCACGAACGCTTACATTTTCATAACGACAAGACGGAAGTACAATATTCAATTATTCTGTTTCTAATATTCAATTATTCTGTTACTAACATCGCACATCATTTCTAATACTGTAAGATGTCGCTATATGCTAAATTTATTAATAATTTAACAATACCCATTGTCTAATATTCAATTTGGCTGTATCTAATAGCGATGTCAACTCTTTGCGGATCCTGCGTGCCTCTTCTATTGTCGTAGCTCCTACTAACCTGTTACTAACATCGCACATCATTTCTAATACTGTAAGATGTCGCTATATGCTAAATTTATTAATAATTTAACAATACCCATTGTCTAATATTCAATTTGGCTGTATCTAATAGCGATGTCAACTCTTTGCGGATCCTGCGTGCCTCTTCTATTGTCGTAGCTCCTGTGAGTAAATCGTCCACGTAAAAGTCGCGCAACAGAATGTTCGATGCCGTCGGGAAGCGATGTCTTTCATCGTGGGCGAGCTGGACTAGTGAACGAATAGCCAACAACGGAGCAGCTAATAGTCCAAATGTGACAGTTTTGAGTTGGAATGTTGTAATCCTGTCAGAGGAATCGCGCCAAAGTATTCGCTGGTATTTACGATCCTCTTCACGCACCAAAAACTGCCTGTACATTTTTTCGATGTCCCCTGTTATGACGTAGCGGTATAAGCGGAATCGTAGGAGAATGTACAACAGGTCTTCCTGAACCTTCGGCCCTGTGTGCAAGGTGTCATTCAATGAGAGTCCGGAAGATGTACCTGCTGACCCGTCGAAAACCACTCTTAGTTTTGTGGTTTCGCTGGAAACCTTTATAACCCCATGGTGAGGCAGGTAGTATCCGTCAGAAGAGTCCTGATCCTCTGTGACCTGTTCCATATAGCCGAGGTCAAGGTACTCATTCATGACTGTGCGATACTCTTTCTGTAAAATTGTAATTTCCTTTCAAGAGATTCGAATCGTTTTAAGGCTTGTGTTTTTGATTCCCCAAGTTGACCGATGTTATCCTTGAAAGGAAGCGCCACGACGTAACGTCCGTCGTTGTTCCGTTTTGTGTGTCGGACGTAATGTTGTTCCGCGAATTTGTCCGAATCTGAGAGATGTTGGGTCTGTGGGCTCTCTTCAATCTCCCAAAACCGAGCCATACCAAAGTGTAAAGTCCTGATGTTATGGCAGGTCGTGCTGTGGGGCGAATCGGAACCTGGAGAACTCCCCCCGATGACCCAACCAACCTTTGTCTTTTGAAGGTACAACCCGGGTTCTTCTGGTGGAGCTAAGTTAATTTGTCCTATACTCAAGAGTGATAACGCGGCTCCTGAGCCAAGTAACATGTCTATGGGAGCTGGGCGGTGAAAGTCCGTGTCTGCCAGCTTGATGTTTTTAGGAATTTTAATTTTAGATTGATCTATGTGCTGTTCCGGAATGAACGATGCAATTTTTGGAATTGTTAAGAAACTCAATGTACGTTGGTAATCACTGACTCTTGACTGTATCGTAGCTGTAATGTAGTGTCTTGCTACTGTTGATAAAACATTGAGAGCACCAATGGGAATCGAACATTTCTGCTGTGGAATGTTGAGCCTGTTTGCTAAATGTTCTGTACTGAAATTTGTGGTCGCACACGTGTCTATGAGTGTGCGACAGGGAATATGTTGTCTGTTGTTGTCTAAAATGAAAATTTACGCTGTGACGAGTAACTCATTATCTATGGTGTTTACTATGAATGTATTGTATGTATTTGTTCCCATTGGTATCTCAGGTAACGCGAGTCAATTGCTTATCGTCGCTACCTGCTCGTCCGGAGGCACCGATTTTGTAGCCGGTGCGCTATTCCCGGGTTGTACCTGTTTCGGCTGATGTAATAACGTGTTGTGTGGCTGATGGCAGATACAACATGATCCCTTTTTGCACAAATCGGGAATGTGCTCATGTCGTAAACAATTTTGACAAAGTGCCGCTTTGTTCACGGCGTCTAACCTTAGATTCGCTGATAACGCATGGAATTTTTCACATCTTCAGATTCCATGTGCCCCCTGACACAATGGACATTTTATTGGAACTGTATTAGCTGAAGTAGCCGCGGATGTAATTGTAGTCGCGGGAACATTGTTGCTTCTCGTATTTTGATGTTGCGTACGAACGTTGTTTGTAGTGACGAAGGCCTGAGCACGTGTGGTATTTTTGTTATATGAAGGTTTTGTGTATGGTACGCGGTTTTGATTTGAACGGTTGTTGATTGTATCGTTGCCGCGCAATTGGTTCTTTTTTCGAGAAAATCTAATAAATTATTATACGATGGCATCTGTTTGTCTTTTAACGAAACCTCCTAGTGCCATGCGGTGTCAGCACTTATTTTTGAAAGGATTATGGCTATCAAAATGCAATCCCAAGATGTTGTATCTACTTGTAAATTTTTTAAAGACCGTAGGTTTTGGCGGACAGTGTCTACTAGTTCTCCTAATGCTGTCGGGGTGTCTTTTGTCAATTTTGGAACCGCTAAAATTCCGTCACAATGTTTTAACAGAATTCGCCGCTTGCAATCGAACTTCTCCTTCAAAAGTTCTATCGCGCCTACGTAATTAGCATCTGTAGTGCTAAGACACTGGATGCACGCGGCGGCCCTTCCCGTTAATGTCGATCTTAGATATTGGAGTTTCTGAACGAGTGTTAAATCTGTGTTTTGATCTATCATAGAAGAGAAGCTGTCAAAGTAAGAGGCCCATTCTTCTATTTTCCCGTCGAATGTTGGCAACCTCATTTCGGGCAATTTAATGGTCATACGATCAGGCGATTAGCTCTTACAATCGCTGCTAATCGTTGAGACCGTCGAGAGAACTTGGACATAGAAATCGTAAATTTAAAAAATACAAAGAGACTCTCAAAACCAGCTCTGGTACTTGCATGCCATGAACGCGCTAGCAACGTGCAGGCCAAATGTTAGTCCTGTGTATAAATTGCTAGCTGCCTTCGTGAAAAACAAAGTCATAAATCTAAAGTTTTTAAAGATACTGTAGGAAACTCGATTTCTAATATGTAGATTTCTAATATGTCTAAGATTTGGTCCTCCAGAAGTCTCAGCTGGGCTGGATCATCGGAGAGAACGTTCCAGTTTCGACCACACACGCGGCACACAAGGCGTTCATCGCCAATCTGGAAGTCAGCCTTCAACGATTCTGGGAGGTGGAAGAAGGACCGTGCGATCAACACCTCTCCATCGAAGAACGCGAGTGCGAGAAACATTTCGTGGAAAACGTGCGACGTGACGATTCCGGTCGCTATACGGTTGCGTTACCACTCAACGAGAAGAAAAACAATTTAGGGGAATCTCGGTCGCGTGCCCTAAATCGTCTTCTTTCTCTCGAGCGAAAACTGGAACGCAATCCGGAATTGAAGGAACAGTATACCGCGGTATTAAACGAATACCTTGCGTTGGGACACATGTCACAGGTAGAAGGTTTCGACGCGCGTGGCTTCTACCTGCCGCACCATGCTGTCGTAAAACCTTCAAGCGCCACGACGAAGGTTCGGGTTGTGTTCGACGGTTCGGCAAAGACGAGCACAGGTGTGTCATTAAATGACGCATTAATGATAGGTCCGACCATTCAGGACGACCTGTTCTCTCTTCTCCTACGATCTCGCACGTACGCTTTCGTGATTACCGGGGACATTGAGAAAATGTACCGGCAATTTCTCGTTCGGCCAGAAGATCGCGCGTACCAGCGAATTTTATGGAGAAATAAGGATGGCCACGTAAAGACATACAAGTTGAACGTGGTCACGTTTGGCCTCTCGTCGGCTCCATTCTTAGCAATCCGTTGCATACATAAACTCGCAGACGACGAACGGGACGCGTATCCAGAAGCGGCAACCGTCTTAAAGAGAGATCTGTACGTGGATGATCTTCTCACGGGCGCTGATACGGCTCAACAAGGCGAAACGTATGCAGACGCAGATCAGCGACTTGCTCAAGACAGGAGGACTCAATATTCGCCAATGGGCCTCCAACGAACCCAATATTCTCGAGGGATTGAGCGAAGAGCAGATCCATCCAAAAATCTTAGGAGACGCCGCCATTATGAAAACCTTGGGAGTGTCCTGGGATGCGCGAAACGACACAATTCGTTACACGGTCGAAGTCCCAACCAACGGCAAAATCAGCAAGCGCAGCATTTTGTCGACGATCGCCAAAATATTCGACCCATTAGGACTTCTTGGGCCCGTCACGATCATCGCCAAGATCCTAATGCAACGCCTTTGGCAATTGAAGATCAGTTGAGACGAATCACTTCCTGCCAGCCTTCACACCGAGTGGACCACCTACGCGGCACAGTTGCAGGAACTGAACAACATGGAGTGCAACCGTCACGTCAGCCAAAGGGATTGCAAGCACATTGAGCTCCACGGATTTTGCGATTCTAGCGAGCAAGCATACGGAGCTTGCATTTACGTCCGCACGATAAGTGAGGAGGGTCACATCGAAACCCACTTGCTGTGCGCAAAATCTCGCGTCGCGCCGTTAAAAACCATAACTCTCGCGCGGTTAGAGTTATGCGGAGCCACACTCTTGGCATCGTTATATGCCTCCGTCCGAAAGGCGATCGCGCGCGATATCAAGGAAACCTTTTTATGGACCGATTCGACCATAGTATTAAACTGGATCAAGAAACAGCCTAATACTTTAAAAACTTTCGTGGCCAACCGTGTGGCCGACATTCAGCGCAAAACAGACACGAATTCTTGGCGACATATCAAATCAGCTGATTTGATATTACGGGGTGTTATGCCTGCGCAATTCCACAACAATGGATTCTGGTTCCACGGTCCAGACTGGCTTGCCGACCATCGAGCAAGGTGGCCAGAATCAAAGGTCAGCTTGACGGATGAGGTACCCGAATTAAAAAGGGTTACGTGTCTCGTGAGCTCAACCATTTGGAGCGAAGAGATCCTCGCCCGATATTCGTGCCTCAAGAGGCTTACGCGAGTCGTTGCGTATTGTCTCCGTTTCCGCCAACGCGTTGCGGGACCACTGACCACCGACGAGCTGCAAGAAGCTAGACAACGTATCATCAAGCTGGTGCAACTCACCTCATTCGAACAAGACATTCGGGACCTCGAAAGCGGAAAACTACGTCCGAAGAGTAAGCTGCGATCGCTCAACCCACTTCTTGACGAACGAGGTTTGCTACGTGTCGGAGGACGTCTGCAGAATTCGGAGCTACCGTTCGCGCAAAAACATCCGATTTTGCTGCCGAAGGGAAACCACGTGATTGATTTGATCATACGTGAAGCGCACGTCGAAAATCATCACGCGGGCATCACGGCTACCCTCTACAGTGTGCGCCCTCTGCGTATTGGCCCATTGATGGGAAAAATACGACACGAAAAACTATTCGACGATGCGTCAGGTGCTTCCGGGTCAATCCACCTACCGTCGAATACATCATGGGAAACCTACCTGCGGCGCGTATCACCGCAAATCGGCCATTCCATACCTGCGGCGTAGATTATTGCGGACCGTTTTACGTAAAGGAGCGGCGCTATCGAAACCGAGCGAAGGTAAAGGTTTACGTGGCAATATTTACCTGCTTCGCAACGAAGGCAGTGCACCTTGAGGTAGTAGGCGATCTAACTATCGAGGCATTCATCGCCGCTCTCAAGCGATTTATTGCACGGCGCGGACTTTGTCGTCACATATACTCCGACAACGGTACCAATTTCATCGGTGCAGGTAACGAGTTAACCACGATCTATCAATCGCTAGCAAGGGACAAGAAATTGCAAACATTCATGGCCGACAAGATAATTTCTTGGCATTTCATCCCGGCCTTATCGCCACACTTCGGTGGTCTTTGGGAGGCCGCTGTAAAGGCGTTCAAACACCATGTCAAACGAGTGGTGGGTGAAGAATTGTTCACTCTTGAACAGTTCAACACTTTCGTAATCGAGGTCGAGGCGATCCTTAATTCGAGACCCCTCACTCCTCTTTCCACAGATCCCAACGATCCGTCAGCTCTGACTCCTGGCCACTACCTAATCGGTAATCCCTTAACGAGCATTACTGAGACTGATTTCAGCGAAACACCGACCAACAGACTGTCCAGTTGGCAGCATATCCAGAAAGTCAGGCAGCATTTCTGGACCAGATGGCAAAAGGAGTACGTGAACCATTTGAACGTACGACACAAATGGACGACGGGTACACACGAGATCAAGGAAGGGACCATCGTGGTCCTAAGAGAGGACAACCTTCCACCGTTAACCTGGCAGCTTGGACGTGTGGAGACCATACATCCCAGAGCGGACGGGATCATCTGAGCAGTCACGGTTCGAACCAGCCACGGGACTTATCAAAGGAACGTGAAGAAGCTGGCACCTCTTTCGACCGAAGAAGAGGACCTCCCACCACCACGCAATTGGATCACTTCAACGGACCAAGAGCGATCTACGTCTTGATCAATCCGATTGATCAACGGGGGGAGTATGTTCCATCGCTAACGGAACATGAGGTGAGGATTCCCAAAGGGTGTTTATGACAGCGCGTCTACGAACAGCTGTTTTTGAGTTTGAATATTTTAGATTACCAGCAATAGTTGTTTACCTTTTTTCACACAATAGATTCCAAATTTTTAGTTTCGTTTTGTTCTCGACAGCTCAACTCATGTTATAAACTCGGTCCTTCCCGAAGGGTAATTTCGCAAGCAACCGGCGTAACGGTCTTCCTGGCCTTTGAGGGCCTACCTGGAGGGAAAAACCCCGGTGTCGCAGGACTTTGGGTCTTCTCACGTACACACGCGCCTGCACCCCACCCTCTCTTAGCGACCTGGCTAAGGCCGAAATAGAGGGTGGGACTTAGAATCTAGAAACCACACTGATTGGGAAATTAACGAATTTCGGAAAACCCATCAGCGTGGCTTTCCGGACGTCCGAACTTTTCGCGGACGACAGAACGACAGCGGATCGTCACTTGTCGTTCATTTTTCGTATTCGCATCATCGAGGTTCTTGGGTCTCAACTGTTCGGAGACCCACGTCAAAAAAAGGTGTTGCCAATTTAAACATTGACAACATCGGCCGCGAACACCGGCGAGCCTAAACGGTAAGAGGAATCTTACAAATTCCTCCGAGGAAAAAATCCGCGTTGGTGAACGCGCGCCGGCAACGATCATCGCCAAGTTGCCATCGTAACATTCAATGAAATGATTAAATAATATTTTATCGATGATGTAGCTAGTGGCGCATAAGGATTTCCTGCCCTCTTTCTTCAAATTGAAAAGGAAAAAGTTAATATACATAATACAGAAAAAAGATAAAAAGATAATTTTATAAATTTTTCAAAAATCTTTTTACAATTAAACTTCACTTTCTTTATTGATGTTATATTGTGTCTTCTATGTATATCTACAATGTTTACAAACGAATTATTATAAATTAACTATTTAGGAAATAATTTAAAAGTTTTGAAAAGAGAACAGAAAATTGGATGTTATTATTTAAATCAATTTTCATAACTATCTTGCGAATTTTATGGAGTTTGGTATTAAAAGTATTTTTATCCGTTGAACTTGAAGCTCTCCACGATTAAATCCTGAGAGCACCATTAATGCCCAATATGTTAGTGGTCGTGTAATTATTTTATGGATACAGTAGAGTGTAGTCAAGGATTTGAATTGTATATCAGTTACGGGGGCATACACTCAGAAAACTCAAAATTTCTTGTTTTTTTTATTCTCATATGTGAACAATAAAATAGACGTTTTGA